GGACAAAGCACTAGGGACAAAATGTATGTGAAATGGTTTGAAACAGCAATGTTTTACTATGTAACATTCGTTTTGAAAAAAATGACATTTTTTTAAAATTTTCAAATTTCCCGCCGCCGCCGCCCGTACATCCCGACGTCACAGGGACCAGAACACAGAAGCCGGATGCCGGCATCAGCCGGAGGAGATGGCCGGGGATGCTGCAGGGGACACATCGTGGGAGCGAAGGACAAGGTAAGTGCTGGAGGGACTCCCTATGCAGCGCCGCATGGTAAACCCGAGTGTAGCTCGGGGTCACCGCTTTTGGTACAGAAACTTTACCCCAAGCTACACTCGGGAATACCGCCAGGGAGGTTAAACTAGCTTGAGAAGGTGTTTGACTAGAGATTTGTTCATAATATTTTTGAGCCACAGAGCAGACACAAAACAATCTATTCTTTAATACATCTGATGTGTTGTGGAGTAGAACAAATATTGCCTATGTAGATATCACACCAGGCATCAAACAGATGACATTCACTTATAAGTTTGCAAAACAAAGTGGTGTTTTGATAAGTTAGGAGGAGGTGAGCCATCATGTGATCCTTGGAGGGCCGCTGATCTTGTGGAGTCGAGGCAGGCTGCTTCTGCCTGCCTATCTCACCCATTGGGGCTGCAGGGGATTATAATGTAACAGTCCAGGTCCCTCATGCTTAAAGCACCCGATGTTTGCTGGGCAGACGAGGAAGGAATCTGAGTCTTAGCAAAGCACTCACTTTACATGTCCATCATCAGCCGCTGCTGCACATGCATCCCATTTGTATTGCTTTGTGTGCCTTCCTGCCCCGGTCACAACCATTACTCCCATTTCTACAGGTGTCATAGAGACAGGGAGTAGAAAAAACCTCCTCGGTAGAGTCATAGACAGAGATAAAAAAAAATCTCTTCAAAACTCTAGCCAAAATTAGGACATTAATACGTATATGCACATTTTAATTTTTTTTTAGCATTTTACAATCTTTTCAGAATTTTGAAGTCAGAGTTTAATTACAATCACATAGATTTATTTTGGTAACAATAAGTTAGACCATGTTGTAATGATTAACAGAATGAAAACGTGACTTATTATTGTCTTGTGGGCATGAAGTCCTATAATTCTGAATTTATAAATGTGGGAAATTGGAATGTAAAGTGCTAACTTTGCACTCATACAAGACATGAAAAACCTGAGATATTAATACTTCAGACTTTCAACAAGTGCTTTTCCTATCAGCAAGAGGCGGATTTTGTTGCAAATGCAATGGACTTAACAGTTCATCTGCTATGGTGTTTTGTCACAAAAGCTTTTAGCAATGTTCCAGACATTATCAAGAATAAAAGACATCAGGAGTGTGTTCTAAAAAAATTAGTAGCATATGCTGCCCTCCTACGCAACATCAGAAGCTCAGATATTTTCACAGAGCCACAATTAGACTATTATACACAGACTGTATTCATGCATGCTTCTTGAAGAAGAAGCACATTCTTTTGAAACCAAATGACTGCTACAACAGACTTTATAGATTTTGAAAGTGCTATGGTACAGCACTACTTAACCAGTAGATAGTTGAGTTGAAAAGATTTGTGAACTTTTTTGGATTTCAAAGTATTTACTCCTACACAAAGTAAGGATATTGAGTTGTGATCAAACTATAATATAGACATTTTTAGAAATTGGATAATGTATGCAGATGGGTATAACCATTGTAACTAAAGCTTTCTATAGAAGGTACAGGTCTCAGCTTGTTCCAAGCATACCAACCTAGAGCCAAGCAAACCAGCCTACAGCTGGCCATCACTGAATGTAGGGCTGTGGATATTTATTTTTCCTGGGGGGAAGGGGGGGTTCAGTCCTGGGCAGTTGGGCAGAAAATAGTTAGGTGGTGCACACAGCTATGAACTCTGGATATGGCAAAATTGCTCTAACAGTTAGTGGTATTTAAAACCTCAGCCTACTCACTGAGGTTGATTTACCAAAGGCAAATAGGCTTGCATTGCACAGCCTATTTGCCTTTGGTTAATCAACCCCATTGTGTACATGGTAACTTTCAAAACATTCCTCGTACACCAAATATATATGAAGGAGGAGTTGCATGACCCCAGAAATGCGTTGGCTGTCTTATAACACAATATTAATAAATAATTTGAACTCTTTTATCTTTTGGTCTAGCTCTCCTTCCATATATGCACGTTCTTTTCTGGTGACTTGCTGAATCACCCATTGGAGGGTAGCCTTGTCTGTTGTGAGAGCAGACTAACCTAAGCCAGTGGGCTCTTCAAATGTTTTGCCCTCCCACTATCTTGTTTAAACTCACATTAAAGTCCCAGCACCTCTTGGTTGCCCGATGCCCTTTTTTTTCATCAGAGTGTAAAGAAGTCTCCCCTTGGCTATGTCATGTGACAGTAGCCTAGGAAAAGATAAAGAAAGCTTCCCTAGCTCTTAACTGCAGCTGCCTATCTCTAAGACTTTACAGGCAGCAGGAGCAGGGGCTACAGTGCTTTTTGGTGTCCAGTGCTGTCCATTCTAGCTGCTGCACCGCAGATGTTCTTGGGGGGTTTGGACCCTAGCCCCCCTTTATGTACACCTTACTGAATGCATTATATTGAAAATAACTTCTAAAAGTTGAAGTAAAGATAAATTGGACTATTTTATGTAAAGTGGTTCTAAACCAGAGATTTGAAATCTGAATAAAGCACATCCTTCTATACTATGTGTACTGGTCTCTAGCCAAAGCTCTGATTTCTCTCTGCTGGCTTGTTCCTTTGTTATCTACATGAGTCACTCTGACAGATTTTCAGGGACACCAAGAGAAAAAAGGTGGCAGGAAAGGAGAGCACCAACACACAGTCTGAGATTGACAGCCACAGCGTTGCTTGTTCTCATGTAGTGTGAGGAGAGAGGTGTGTCCCTTACCTCCAAGGCTCAGAGCTCTTCACTCTTGTTGTGAGAGATGTGTATAGAAAACCTTCAGCGCAATGAAAACCTCTTAAATAAATGTGCAGCTAGCATATAATGTGTTCCCACGTATAACAAAGTAAATAAAGTGAAGAAAATGCAGCACAACAATAAATAAATAATTATAATAGTGCTTATAGTCTTAAATGTGCATGTGTAAATGGTGATAATCAATCTACTGTGCTCATGAGGGTCAATATATGCTACTCATGATATCTTCCAATGCATACATATAAAGTCCCATAGAGCCTGCACATAACAAGTGCTATAAATTTACCATAGATAGTGCACACAAATTCAAAATAAATAATCCTTAATAGTGATATGTCCCTTTAAATCCTTAATCACATCACGTGGACCTGTGTGGTACACTTCCTGGAAACCATGCTACAAATACAACAACAAAAAGTGTTGACTGGATGCAATCTCTATAGTGGTGGACCATCCCTTTAACTCCACTGTTGTTGTAATCACACTGCTGTATAAACATGTACAGAGCTCCTATGTCACCCCTTAGTGCTCTCTTCCACCTCCAACACACTATTGCACTCATCTCCAAGTTTTACCCATAATGACAGGTCAAACTGCGCTTTTCCCTTTAACCTGGGAGTGTATAATGGTACACAGATCTTCACCACTGTTTGCCAGCACATTTAAGCAGATCCAGATTGCTCCATATCCATGTAAAAAAATGCTCAATATAGTGTAGTATTTCTGCCTTTATTAAAATGATATATGTTCAACTCACATTAAAATGTGTCCTCCTGGGACACTTCAGGGCTAAAAACTCACTATACAGTGTTTTCTTCCAAATGTATAAGAAATTCCTCTTTCAAAATGGCGGCACATGGACTGTTGAAGTCACGTGTTGTGACTTAACGCATAGGGTACGCCGATGATGTCAAGCCATTAACCCTCCTCACAGGGATTTACTGTGATGTATGGCTTTTAGGACTTCCTGTCCCTACTAGGTTTTTTTCTTTTGACAAGTTGGTGCCAAAAGAATTGATTATGGATTTACAATGAGGTACTTTTTGAGGATTTTTTTTTTTTTTTTTTTTATAAAAGACTGATCAAACAATTGGGTGTATTTCTAGGTTACATTTTTTGGGTAAATGAGTAAAAAAGTATCATGTACCCCTTACTCATTCATGTAGGAGGAAAACTAGTATCTGGTGACCTCCTTATTTTTAATTTAATAAGCCACCAGACTTTAGACCACCACAACCACCAGGCCAGGGTTGTGGGTAGAGCCCCCTCCCCCAGAACCTCCCTATGTTGTGTGCATGTGACCTGGTATGGTTCAGTGAGGAATGCATGCTGGTCCCCCCCCCCCCCCCCCCATTGCAGACTCATTTACAAAGGCTTAAAAAAAAAAAGCCCACAGACCTCTCCAAAGGACCCTTTGTTTGCTATGGATTTTGGGGGTCATTTGGAAGGGACTGTTTGTATTTTTTTTAAAAAGCTGGCAGGGAAATTTAATTTGCTGACAATTGTAAATACGTTTTTTTCTTTTGTAAATGTCTGCAGCACTTTCTCTACATCACAAAGACATGCCCCTTCATAGGCAGGATTAGGGCAATCCCAGACATGTCATTTAAAGTACTTGAGCATTTTTTTAAACTTTCTTTTTTATTGATAATTTCTCAAGAAAGATACACATACAGTGGGTTACAGTGGATCCCGTTACATGGTAAAAGTGTATTCCAGCAAATGAGCAAAGTATCACAGGCATATTTAATTTTTCCCTTTAAGCATTTTTCAAAAATCACTTCATTCTGGCTGAATGCAATTCCAACAGTTCCCACCTCCCTGGTATTTTTTGATAACCCTTGCCTTATTATTATTTTTGGTTTTAAAGACTCATCTTCCATGAAGTTCACCAAACTCTATTGGAACCAAACCCAGGACAGTTTGGCTTATTCCTAGCAACATGATAAATACAACAAGTATTTTACTTATTTTACTTATTACCAAAACATAGCGCTATTATTATGTTATTTTACAGGTCATTCATAAAATGTTGCCTGTGGTGCATAGTCTGTGATATCCCACTGATTTCTTAACATAGCAGAGAAAGCACTGTGATTGAAGGAGAGATGGTCATGGGCAGACTGACAACTCATGGGGCGCCTGGGCAATAGGGGATCATGGGGCCCCTGTGTCCTTGCCAAACTCAAAAAAGCCTATGAAAAAGGTACCAGGGGCATCTCATGGGGCCCCCTACTGACCTGAGTTTCCAAATGGTCAGTCCGCCCCTGGTCATGGGACTCTTCTTGTAGCTTTGTTTTTTTTTTCAGCCATTTAGTTTTATTGTTCTCCTTTCACTTTAGACTTGCAAAGTAAGCAAAGTGCTAGGCACATTTTTAAAGCATGTCTTTGTGCTTTATAAATGTGCAAAGCTCTGTTTTTATGGCCATAGTATAATCCATACTGCTGCTTTTTAAACAGGCTCCCAAATGTCATTCAGTTACAGTTCACATATACTGTAAATACAGCTGAGAAAATTCAGGTAACCAATCTGGATGTAACATGGCAGAGCTGTGTACATTTTAGAGCTGGATGGGCAATTATGCAGCTACACTTGAGCTTTAAGCTTTCAGTAGAGATAAAAGGTGACAGTGAAATAAGGGATAGTGGTTTGTAAGAGGTCGGAAGCTGGCTGAAAATTTTTGCTTCCTGCTATGTCAAAATGGTTTAAGTTATCATTTGATCATCTCTTGAAATGTGTTTACCTATGTTTGTTATTTAATCCTCTTATACATGGCCATTGGTTTTAGCAGTTAGTAGGTTGTTAGTGATTTTTAGTGGGGCTGTATAATAATAATGATAATAATAAATATTTAATTTCTTTTTGATTTTTAAAAGTAGCATTTTTCAGGCCTAGTGGTCCTGCAAACCATACTACTAGGTCACTTATAGATAATCCAAGTATTTGCCTTAGCTTTCAATTAGGTACTATGCGCCAACATCAGCATCTCATTAGAGGGCCATCCTATTCAACACATTTCATAAGCCTGATTAATTTTAATTGGGTAAAAAGGAGGATATGAATTGCTAAACTTGTCATAGAGATTTTTTTCCAGCCTTGAGCAGCAGCATACACGACAGCATTTATCTGACAATCATAGAGATTGAAATATCCACACTTGCTAATGGAGTTAGAAAAGTATAGCAGAGGGAAATATTTTCTATTAATTGTAAAACTGGTGGAACTGTAATTTAAGAAAATGGGCTTGTAAGTATGGAGTTGTTTTAGGTTTAGAATCAGCGGTTAAAAATTCAAATAGTTTCAAATGCTACCAAAATCTTCCAAAATCTTTTATTTGCTAGTGAAAACTGTGATAACTTTTTCTGAGTCTCATTTATTTCTTTATTTCAATGTGTGCAATATGCATAGCCTTCTGACACGTACCACTGCATGGTGTATTGAAGAAACAAACCTGCAGGGTCAACAGATCTGATCGCCCTGCAGCTCAGATCACGTTTGCATATCCAACCACTCTCTAATGTTTATTGGCAGCTTAAGCTGCAAAATATATTTTAGAATACAATATTGTGTAACCTTTCTGTGACCAGAGGTAAGAGCTTAGATGCCAAGGCCAGACTTAGCAACATCAGTATGCATAGGTTACCTTGACAATAACGATATGGCGAATTTGCAAACCTTGCAGTTATTTTTATATATATCCTTTTTTTAAGAGCATATTTAATCATATGTATTGTGTATACTGTTTGGTATACTGAAAAAAACAGATATGCAAACATGTAAAAATAAAAAGCAATGTTTTGTTAACTTTTTTAATACCTCAATTGTATGTGACAATTATAGTTTTTAAACAAACAAACAAACAAACAAACAAACAAACACTGACACCTTCAGGCTGCAGTGGCATCTGCAACATCATCTGCAGGCTGAAGGCTTATTTTGTCAATGAAGCTTCCAGCTTACATCTGTTCATTATGTCATAATGAACATAGCATAGGAATCACTCTGATTCCTGATCATTGGTGGGGATTGGAGCTGTCAATGCCAGTTGGGTTTGAGAACTAGCTGCTGTGAAAAGTGTTGGTTGCTAGCTCTCAAATTGAGGATGTTTACAGTGTGCGTGTATCCTCAGCACTGGGCATTATGCTGAGAAACATCAATGTATTGATTAAAGATCGGAAGGAGTTAAAGGAAAGCTGATGGATTTTGAAAAGCAGGAGTTAGGAAATACATATTAAAGTTTAGTTTAAGGATTTGATCTATTGTGATTATCCATTTATGATCAAATACTGTGTCACTGTGCAACATTTATATACTCATTTACACTTTTGTATTACAAAAACTCAAACATAATTACACAGACTGCAACATACACCAGCTTTAAAGTAACAGTGACCCAGGTGGCTACATCAAGCTGCATACATTTATTAAATATTTTCAAAGGGAAACTATGTAATGTCAGATGGATTCTAGGGGCTAACATCTTATTCAACTCATGCAATTATGTCACACAACTAGGTTTTTTTTTAATTTTATTTTTTTATTATAAATATATTATTTCATTAAAAAAAGAATAGAAGGGATAGAGGTTCATAAATGAAAATAATACATACAAAATCTAGGAAAATCACATAGCTATAGGTGAAATCATATGAAAGAAAGTGCATCTTACAACAAAACCAACATATGCCAAATTTTCATTTATGGCAGGGGGTCCAAAAACCATTAATATCATTAAATCAAAATGGAGAGGTTTTGCTCAATTGTACAATCATTATTGGGGCTTATCAACTGATGTTCCCACCAGTGGGGAACCTTATAGAAGGTACGTGTTGGGAACAAGACTAATTGCATATCTACATACAGCCCAGGTCAGTAGAATAGTGATAGCTAGGTCACAGAGATCCTCTCTTGGATGTGAAGAGATGTGTTTGTGCCAATGCTTGGTGACTCTTGCAAAACTACGGGGTGGATTTACTAAAGGTAAATAAACTGTGCACTTTGCAAATAGAGTTGCATTCAACAAATGCACTTGCTCCAGAGCTTGGTAGATGACATGAAACTCTGCTGACTTCCATCATCCAATCATGTGCAAGCAAAAATGCTGTTTTCTTTTTTTACTTTCTTTGCATGTGATTGGGTATTCTTTGTAAAGTTAAGCTCTGGAGCAACTGCACTCGCAAAGTGCACAGTATGTTTTCTTTTAGTAAATCCATCCTTATATTTGTGTTATAGTGTAAGGCTTATTATGTTGTGCATTCAACTCAGCTTGTCTTACTAATATCTTTCATTTTGGCATCCTCTTACAAGTGATATAGCTTTGAGATTTCTGCCCCTTTGGAAGCACTCACAATCTATGTGTATTCTAACTTATGCGCTCAAGAAACTGGGCATAACCTGTCATGTCCATACTCCCTGGAGAGAACATATTTAACTGTAGCCTTGCTGCTAGATGGCTTCCAGTTACTGCCTGCAACATTTTGTCAGACCTAAATGTCTCTCACATGTCTCCTCTATTTCTTATATGTTTACCTAGAATTTTCAGGGAATATTTTAAAAGGTTAGTAATGACTTTAGGCTTACTCCCAGTAACCCTGGAAAACTTGCACTTAGCCTCATTACTGTGCCAATGTATTGCCAATTAAGTGCCAATTTATTCTTAGTGTCTCTGTCCTACTCTACCTGCTGACATGCCCTCTTCCTCCACTTCAATTTAAAGCCCAGTTTAGGTGAACCAATTTGCCCATTACTAAGCATGACCATTAAATATTTGCATGCTAATCTCAATACAAGGCAGTAGTTATCAGGAAAAGTAATATAAGTGCCACCACCACCATGTATACCTAACCCTATGATGGACATCATTGGCTGCATGGTCCAAGCATACTTTTGCTCTCTATAGCTGCATCAGGTACATACACAAGGTTGAATGTCATACCCTAGAGAAGGGGGAACAAACTCAATTTAATTGAGGTCCACATCAACATTATGGTTACCCTCAATGAGCCGGTTGTATTTTTACAACTAGATAAATGTGTCTACTCTTTACCATATTAAGTAATTGCCTCTGCAGATATCCAGAGCACCGTATCCTCTTATATCAGATGTCAAGAGCCCCTCCACCATCAGAACTCAAGAGTCCCCCACCCTCCCTTACATAACAGTGCCCCCCCTTACCTTGTGCTGCTGCTACTGGGAAGATGTTGGGAAGCACAAAGTGCTGCTGAATGCTGAGACCAGGGGAGGCAGAAACATGAGGGTGCTGCAGCTGCACAGAGAGGTGCGTAGACCACATGAAATAGCTGGGTGGGCCAGATACTGCCTGCAGGCCTTGTGTTTGACACATGTGCTTTAGAAACAGTCCTGGGTAGGCTGAGAAGCATGCCTGCATTAAAGGTATGATTTTTTATAGTTAGCTTTCATGAAAAGGGCCTAGGAATGTAGGAGATAGGGAGATTACTTCATAACTACACTTACACCTTAAATAAATAAAATAAAAAGTTAAAAAAATTGTAATTAAACATCCTCATTATTATGTAACTCAACTTTTTGGACATAAATATATTTCATGTAATAGCATGATTGAGACTCTGCTCTACCATTGACTGATTGCTTTTTTGTACATTAACTCTTATCATTGATCAAAGGGACCAGTGATAACAGTGAACGATTGTGCAGTGCTGCAGTTGCTTCTGTCTTTCACTGTGTATGACTGTAGGACTTGTATTAGTTTTCATTTGTCACAAAATCCATGAACAGTAGAGGGTCATTAGCTTTGATTCTCAGTAGTGTGCTAACTCCCGATAACTGAGAAATCACCTATGTAACATAGGCCAGAGGGTGTGAGATTATTAGACTGTTGGTATTTGTCTTTTTTCTTTTAAATCTTTTCACAGAATAAACAAAAAACACACTGCATTTGATGTGAAAATCTTTTTATAAATGTAGCAAATAGTAATAAGTAATAAATATTTAGTGAATAATAGTAAGGAAACAAGTAATAGAAAAACCAGAACTGATTCTAATCTGTGTGCTCATTTAGTAAATTTGGTAGTAAGTAAATAAATTCTTCATTGGATTCAATGTTACAGCTTCAGGGCTAGATGATTTGAAAAAAAAAAAAAGGTTTCAGGCACAAAAGAAAGAGCTGAAGTAAAAAAAAAAATGCCAAAAGCTCTTACAGAAATATAAATACAATACATCAAAAGACCTTCAAGCACAGGGATGCTGTATAGTAATCCTCAAAGATATCAAGGAAAAAAATTAAAATGCCTCAAAGTATTAGTCATTAGTCAGAAGATACCTTCTACTTTTTTTTTTTTAAATAAGCCTTTAAATATATCAATGTTTAGGGCCCATTATAATCATGCCATTATAAAACTCATAGCCGATCTTTTAAATATGCATGTGTTTGTCTCCATTTTTCATTCCATTCTGCAATTATGTGAAACTATGAGTACAGTATGTAACTGTTCAACTGTGCAATAATTAAAATGAGTATTGAATTTTAGTGCATTTTTTAGTGTGGGCTCTCAATTTAAACTAAACGGCAAAATTTGGCCAGGTCGCCTGCCTGATCCTCCAGCTGCTACTGGAAATTGTTCATTTAGTGGGGGTATTACTATGGTCAATAAATTATTGCTTCTGGCCACCTGTCCATCTAATTTTTTTTTAATTGTAAACAGGTTTGTAGACATCCTGGGTGACATCATTGACCAAATATGGTCATCGTCATATTTGGTCAATGACATCAGCAAGCATCCATGGCAAATTAGTTGACTTTCAGCAGCCAGCTAAGGAGCAGACATTTATCACAAGAGAGAATTGTCATGCTGCAGCACATCATATTTGTGTCAGTGGGTCTGTCATCGATGGTGTGACTGATGTTGGATTGACATCATAGAATGTAAACCTTGGGGGTTTATATAGTGGGGCATTTTTTTATGAAAAATTACTTTTTCTATAGTACCTACAGTATGTGAATATATATTTTTGTCAATTTTTTTATTAATGCTTGAAGTGGTTGTAAAGGCAAAAGGTTTTTTCTTCTTTCATGCATTCTATGCATAAAGATGAAAAACCTTCTGTGTGCTGCTCTCCCCTCAGCCCCCCCTAATACTTTACTGAGCCCAATCTTGATCCAGCACTGTGCATGGGAGCCTCAGCTCTCCTGTATCTCTCTCTCTCTCTCTCTCTCTCCTCATTAGCTGAAACACAGTAGTGGGAGACATTGGCAATCACAGCCAGACAAGAGCAAGCGGGGGCACACACAGAGCGGGGATCGGGAGCAAACACGTACGAGTGCCCCCATAGCCCGACAAGAGGAGAATCGGGGCTACTTTGTGCAAACCATTGCACTGAGCAGGCAGGGGCGGACTGACCATTTGGAAACTTGGGCACTGCCCGAGGGCCCGAGGTCAGTAGGGAGCCCCATAAGATGCCCCTGGTACCTTTTTCATAGGCTTTTTTCAGTTTGGGCAAGGACACAGGGGCCCCATGATCCCCTATTGCCCAGGGGCCCCATGAGTTGTCAGTCCGCCCCTGCAAGCAGGTATATAACTTTTTTTCCTAAACCCAAGTCTTTGATATAAATTTAACAAGGGGTACTATTTCTTACTCATGCACATGAAAGAAAGGATGGATATCTGGAATCTCCCTCATTTTAAAGGGGCCTTCCAGATAAAAATAAGTAACTCCCCCCAGACCCTCACATCCACTGGGCCAAGGATGCTGGGATTATGCCATATGGTTGGTAGGGGGGCTCCTCTGGCAAGGCACTCTCCCAATATTGAGAGCATGTGACTTGGTATGGTTCAGAAAGGTGGGCACCCACTCCCCTCCCCTTTCCTGACTAGCTAGGCTGCATGCCTGGATAAGGGTCTGGTGGGACTAATATAGATTTTTTTTTATGGGGGGGCATCATTTTTTGTGTTTTTGTAAGAGGGTCCCTCTTTTTTTTTTCTTCTTCTTCAGGGTATGTGTCATAGTATGTTTAGGAGGTGGGACACACACCCGCCACTCCCCCCACCTATCCTAGCCATCCAAAATGCATTCCTGAATAAGGGCCTGGTACAGATTTACAAGGGTACATGGAATATCCCTCAATATCCATACATGGAATCCCTCAATTTCCATACCAAATTAAAGGTCTGATATAGATTTTTAGTGGGACTGCATGCAAAGACAAATTGGCTTTGGTTTCCCCAAAAAAATCCATACCAGTCCCTTTTTCTAGATAGGGGTCTGGTATGGAATTTTATGTGGGACCTAATTCATACAAGATCATTATCTGGACATGCAGCCTGGATGGCCTGGAAAAGGAGGAGCAGCAAGTGTGCATCCTGGCCCAAAACTTACCTGGCCACATGGCCTCAGCAGGGCAAGGGTATCTGGAAAAAAACATTGTCCCCATGTTGATGGGAGCAAGGACCTCATCACCACATCCCTGATCTGGTTTATGTGAGAGTTTATGTGCAGGAAATTCCAAAGTCCCCTTTAAAAATAAGGGGGCCCCCAGAAATCCAGCCCTCCTCCCAACATAAAGAAATACAGCTACCCATGCCTTCTCTAACCCAAATCTGGAGAAATGTAAAGGTTTGGTTCCCTCAAACTTCAATTGGATTTGGATGCTATGTTTGGAATTTGTGGATCTTTTACGTTTACAGAGAACATCCTGCAAACTGAATTTTGCTTGGCACATTCATTACCCATGCAGCCACATTGACTTTAGAACAAGGTCCCACACCTTTTTGAAAAAAGACTCAGGACATCTTGTGGTCACAGATATAGGTAAGTGAATGAGCTTTTTTTAATTAGGGTTTTCTTCTAAATAAACATTGTGATTAGTGGGGTGACTACTTGCTTTAATGCAAACTAAAATGGCCTTTTAGTTATTGTTATTATCATAGTACCGTATATCATATCATACCCATTTAGCATACTTTAAAGCACTATTATAGATATATGTATCTAGACCAATTCATGTAACTGTTTCAGTAACACATCACCTTCCCAGCATTTTAACGGTCTCATGATAACATGTAAGCCAATCTGAACTGCAATTATTCATAAACAAATAAACAGCCTGAAATCTCTCTGCAAACTAAAGAGCATTCCCCAGCAATCATTAATGAGCAATTTGCTACTTCAGTTGTATATCTTAGGAAAGCATTTATTTTTTTATTACATCCAGTGCTACAAATTAAGTTTTCTTTGAGGTTTATATGGATGCTGTATTTCCTGAAGAGATGAGATTCCTTTCACAGAATTGTTTTCACTATAATTCTGCTTCTATTGCTGTATTAAATGTGTCTGGTGTACCTTCACAGCATCCACTGAATAGGTTCTCACACCCCATTATGTGCTGCAGACAAAATAACCACTGAGCTCTGTTGTGTTATCCAAATAAAGGAATTTTCTAGATGGACCACTTCATGTACAAAGTTAATATTCCCCTTTGTATTTTTAGTTTTATATAGGGAGAAAACATGTTATTCTCATTTGTGAGGTTTTTTTTTTTTATTAACAGCCAGAAATGTGTTTGTGTGTGTGTGTGTTTGCGTATGAGGGAGCAAAATGAAATATCTCACATATGTAGTTTGGAATATACTGTAATTGTAAATTTAACTGGACTGTGAAAGAAACACTACTATTTAAAGCTATTCCTAACTAAGGAGGCGGGGCTCTTTGAGAATGTGCGTGTGCACGAAATGCGTCAGGAGGAGCCCATGTGCTGACGTCACGCCGCCGAGTCCATGTTTTTGGCGACCATCTTTGTAAGTGCGCCCACAGCTTTTTAAATTCCATGTGGATTGTATATGTTTGTTTAAACAAATACTACACTGTGTATCTCCATTTTGGGCTCTGTGTGGTGAGCTCTTTTTTCAGGACACACTACTGATGGCCGCGTATCAGCCCTGAGAGGAGGAGATATGTTTACCTTGGAGAATCTTTTGTTACAAGCTTTATTGTTCTTAGGTGTCCTTTTATGACACAGAGAATAGCTGCGATTCAACTGATCTCAGCTATTCTCTGGTCATTCACAGTTTATGACACTCAGGAGATCATGTCAGCCCTTCACTGGAGATCTGTGTTCTCCCTCCAGATTCTCCAGCCCAGAGCTGGAGAATCAGATGGACCGCAAACTAAGCAGAGATAATTTACCTCTGCTTAGTAAACTGATCTTTTACTGTAATCTTGCGAGATTATAATAAAATCAGCCGTTTTCCAGAGTTTGTAGACCGTTTTCCAGCGTTTGGAGACCGTTCTCCCTTCGTTCGGAGAACTGCTTCATAAACTGCATTCACAGGAGAACTGTGTTCTCCGAGAATGCCGGAGAACTGAACAGCGATCTATTACCGCTGGTTCATAAACGGACACCATAGTTCTGGTAAGTGCATAGTGGTGAAGGATTTCACAAATGTTTTTTTTTTCCCACATTTGGATTTTCAATTCACTTTACCGAGGACTGCAGTTCATATGAACTGTAGGTGCAGTCATTCATTCCACTGAGAACTTTTTTCCATTTTGTGCACTGAATTTGGGTCTTTGCGTCATATCATTGCATCAAGGACTTTCATTTATATGGATTGTTTTAGTCATCATTATCAATAATTGCATCTATTATATTACTTGTATATTATTTTTCTTTTATATGTAGTGAATGCTGGTAACATTTATAGGCTACAGTATCATATTACATTTCACTTTTATTCACTGATTGTTTTTCAGTTTTTAGGTGGATACACTTGTATTATTTTTTCATATAGCGCAGCACTTTTGTTTTGATATATTTATTGGAGTGGGTTCACCATATGTGCTAGCTGCTCCCAGTTTTTTTCTTAGTATTTTTCTTAGTACTCACTATATATTGTTTGTTTTTGAAGATTAATATAAAAAAAAAGTACAGTGTCACCAGAGTTAAAATGTGTCAATGGGGTCAATTCACTAAGAGTTAAATAACGACTGAAAAAATGTGGTAAAGTAACACGTGGTAAATTTTTGCAAATGTGCAATGCACTAAGAATTTTGCAGTAAATAACTCATGCGGTAAAATAATGTTATTTCTGTTATTACCGCATATTTTCATGCGGTAATTTATCGCATGGTAGCTGGTTGTTAAGGAAGCCAGCTGTGGTGTCCGGATGACTCATCAGCTCTCAGCGGGTGTCCCACTGACAGCTGAATGTAAACAAAACATGCCAGCAATTACAAATGATGAAATAAACAGTGTGGGGCTCTCCCCATCCATACCAGGCCCTTTGGGTCTGGTATGGATTTTAAGAAAAATGCGCGGGTCCCCTCAGAATCCTAAGGAATTTTGGGTCTGGTATGGATCTGGGGGGGACCACGCCGTTTTTCTTTAAATGTTGGCGGGGGGGTTCCCCTTAATATCCATACCAGACCCCTAGGGGTTGGGGGGGGACCCCCTTGCAGCATCTGAAAAAATACTGCATTTGATACCACCAGCAAAACCCTGGTAATGAATATCGCATCTTTTTTAACTTTCTCTTCTGTTTGTGAACTGAACTTAACAACTTACGGCATTTTTTTTTTTTTTTTTTTTGCTGTATTTACCAACACTTTTTTAATTTCGTGTTAAATAACGCAGAATCTTTTTTTGTGAGTTGGACATTTTGTTACCATATGCAATAATTTATGCAAATAAGTCACGTGACAGTGTTATCGCATGTGGTAACCTTTAATGAATTGACCCCAATGACTCAAAAGTGAAATAAACATCCTCTTAAAAATACAAAAATACATAAATGAATGCAAAGTCCAAAATTCTCAATGGAGAATCCTCCAAAGTTCCCCGTAGAACCTTCAATCAAGTGGACCTTCTTCCAGTGCAATGTTCAAGAACCAACTGCCGTCTCCCTGTGGATACAACACTCACCGGAACAGATGGCTATCATGGCAACAGCGTAAATGCCTGAGTAACGTGCCATGAATTTTAAGTGTATGTGCAATATTCACTCAAATCTGCTGCCAGTGCATCCTCCTCAGTGGAACCAAGCTGAGCTAAATAAAGGCTCATCTGGAGCAGAATATTCTCTAATAGTGTAGTATTTATTAAAATTCAATGTATAAAAATCCATAAACAATAAGATAAAACAACTTTCTTACATGTAAAGCCGCTGCTGACCTGTAATTGTGCAGTGACGTCAGCACTAGAATCTCCTCCCCAGCGCATTTCATCCAATAGGACGTTATCAAGGGGACCTCCAGTATTCTCCTTATGTAGCTTCACAAGATCAGCCTTCTCATTGCATGTAAATTGAATTTCAGCTAAACTGGAAATGTGTCAAATCCTCCAGCTGCTGTTTGTGGCTGCTTCCTCAGCTAGACATATCTTGTTGGTGGCACTCGCTTATTATTTTCCCTGGTGGACTCAAGGGGTTCCTCACCCATGGCTGTCGCAAAGGCCATCTTCAGGGTAAGTCGGCAGGTGGCAAGTGAGAAAAGACTTTGGATTAAATATTTCCACTAAAAACTTTTGTTGAAGATGAATATCCTGAGTTATGAGATGGATCAGTGAATTCCAGTCACAGG